ATATATATTTATTCTTTAAGGATAGAATTGTTGTTTTTACTTTATCTAGGTGTTGAAATGTTGCTTAGTGAATTTTGATGCGTTGTAACGTGCACCAGAATGGCCTGTGCTGCTGAAGAGAGAGAGTGAGAATACGGGAGGTTGGAGGATGAAACTGGTCTGGTAAAAAAAAGTAAAGTAGACAGTCAGACAGATACATGAGGAAGGAAAGACAAAAAGTTGGACCTACCAGCGGTGCCCTCCAACTACTCGCTCCTGGTACATTTTCTGGTGCTTTTGAGATGGTCAAAGTATTTTAGTCTTGTCCTCTGGCCCAGCCTCTATTACTGAAAAAAACAATTGATGCGAGCGGTTGGAGGCCGCCACTGGTAGGTCCCAATTCTTTTCTTTCCCTAGGTTCATTCTGTCTGTCTGTCTTATGCTTCCCCATGCACTTAAATGATCGTTTCTTTGTCGATGTGCTTGTCTCTACTCAAACTCAAAAAAGAGAATTAAAAGAACTCAAATACACGAGCACACTTACAGTTTACACACAGAAGTACATTTTCACGCGCAAATCATTATTATCCCCCCACCGGAAAGACTATTGATTCATACTCTAATAGCCCAAAGACAATGGGAGTAAAACAGAAGCAAAGGGAAATGGTTTTTTAGAAGACTGCTGAGAATTTCCTGGAAGGAAAAGAAATCAAATGAGGTTGAAGCCCACGTGTCCCGGTCGCTGATAAAAAAAAACATCAGAAAAAGACAAATACAGTTTCTGGACCACTTGAACAGACGTAAAGACCTGGGACATTTAGCTCTCACTGGCAAAATTGAAGGCAAACGAAGCTGGGGTAGACCCGGGAAAAAACAGGATAAAGTGGCTTTTTTATTAGAGCATCCGAGCAAAGGATTAAATTATGGAGAACCTTGATTGCTGATGTCTGTCACCTGATGATGACGATGAGTCTAACCCAGTGGTAAAAAGCCAGCAGTAGAACCGTCTTACCTGCAAAACTACGAATTTACGCTTTGATATAGAGAAAGTTTGTGTTATTAATGTCATAATACTCAGAGGTCCAAGATCTATAGCAATTTTCTAAAATGTTTTGAATTTTCCGTGTAGAGAATAAATATGCACTTGTGTAATCTCCGTGCAATATTTCAATCACAATGTAACTACTTTTGACGTTTGTTTTAAGTCGAAATAGAGGTATGTTTGTTACCCTTTTTTCTCACATTTTTTTCTCACATTTTTGCAGATTGTATCCTCATTGCCCTCTTTAGACAGAATGTATGTTGTATGTGCATGTGAAATTTAGTTCACTGTGAAATCTGATTATTCTGAATACGGTTCTGTCATAGAACATTCCTGAGAGTAGGCCTACTTTAATGTCGGTAGGTTCTTCCCTTATCCTATTTTCAGACAATTCTTCCACCTTACTCAGTTTCTCAAGTTCTGTAATTTTATTTTAGATCAATGTTTATCAACCTTTTTATAGCCGGCGCCCGCTTTTGCCATATATATTAAGCGTACCGTAAGTGGCTAAATTTGTCTCATCGCCCACCTTCATGTATATCCAAGCGCGCCATTAAAAAACACTTGTCTCTTCGTAGATGATCTTTAGCACCCTTGAAAATTACCAAATCATCCAGGTTGACAAGCACTGGTGTAGTTGCTTTGTCGCGCGGCCTTCCTGTCCGTGTTGTCTGTTTCTTTCCTCAGGTGGTTGAAGGGAGCTGCTGTTTTCATCTAATCTTTTACGGTCTGTCTGTCTGTCTGTCTGTCTGTCTGTCTGTCTGTCTGTCTGTCTGTCTGTCTGTCTGTCTGTCTGTCTGTCTGTCTGTCTGTCTGTCTGCACTAAACAGCCCTTATTGCGTTAGTGTGCTTCTCTGTCATCAAATTGAAATTCACCTTCTCTCTACGTCCATGATATTTTATGGGTAGGCCATGCCTTACAAGTACAGCGTCTGTGGTGTAGCCGTGAGGCGCTTTGCCGCCACACTCATCAGAGGACCCGAGTACGATTCCTGTATGGGGAGAATTTTTATCGAGCATCTCGGCCTTTCCGCTGGCACGTTGTATCCTTATGAGCGCGGGTTAGCCCTGACAGTTAGGGTAGAAGCCCGCCTCCTAAATGATTTAAAGGATTGTGTGGATAGGGGCGTTAAAACTCCTGCATTGTTTTTTTCCACTTGTGAGTCTGCAGTCTTTTAGTTTAGAATGCAATCTGATGTTGCTGAAACCTCAGGTGGATGGTTGGGGGG